TCTCTTTAGGGACTCAGCCTTCACCCAATTAGTCATGATCCGCCTGCTCCCAAATGCACCCAAAGTCCCAGCAGATCCACAGTTCACTGCCCACCACAAGACAATATTGGTCAGTCCCCATTTTGGACAGGAAGAACAAAACTGTCACTTGTGCCTAGGTCTGTGTACACAGGAAAACGTTGCATGCAGGTTTCCCTCAAGACTTTCACAGTGTGAGTGCTTCCTGGATGCTCAGCGCCAGAATTACCACCACCACCAACAGCCTCATCCTTCTCAGACCTGTGTCATGCTTTTTCTGATCCTTCTGCTTTCCCCAGTCATCAGTCAACAGATATTAATGCCAATCCACTGATCTTCCAAAGATTGACAATCCTTCATCAGTCATTCAGACTAAATCCAATAGATTGAGCAAGATCAACCACTTTTTTCTACCTCTACTAAGGGAAGAAATTAACCTGTAATTAAACAAGGCTTCACCATACCTAATTTCCACGGTGACAACAAAAGAATTCTTCACACCTTCTATGGAATATCACTACTTTGTGTCTTTTGTACCATTCCTCAACGCTGTGCTGCAGTGAGAACTCTTCCCCTGCACATCCAAGGCTGCAAGGGATTTTTAAAATAGTCTGTTGGTCTACTCATGTGTGTAAGGATAACTTATGCACGTGTCATATTCTAGGATGTGATCCGTGTGTCTTTTTGCAGTTGGCATGTGAACTTATTCAGAATCATTTTCAGGGTCTCCAGGTTTTCTATGAAACTTTTACAGATTTGTTTAACCTTCCAGTGGTTGTTCACTTTCTATTTGCACCTGTCTTATTGATTTTTATAACACCCCAGGCAACAGCAGATTTCCAGTAAAAGCAAACTGGGTCACATCATTTATTTCATTCACTTCCTGAAAACCACTTACTGGTTTCCTTCCTCAGGTTGTTTTACTTCTGATCATATTAGATGTCAGGATTTTTCCCCTTCTTTTATCAGCCTGAATTCTGTACTCACAGAAATATATATATATATATATATATATATATATATATATATATATATATACAACAGAGAAGGTGTTTACCGCATATTAAAGAATGTTTTCTCCTGCAGGGAATGTTTCCCTTTCTCTTCTGTTTTCTGCCTATGTATATTAATAATGTTTAGACAAGAGACTAACCTTGACTGTATTAGGTGTTCAAAACACCCTGAAAAACATCTTCACTGAGGGAAGTTCTCTGACTGAAATCATCGTGCTGCCTGTAGTAAGAAGCCATCTAGAAAGTGCTTGTTGCACTAAGCAAACACCAAATACAAGGCTGAGGCAAAGACTAAATAGAATCTGAAAAGAGCACCTGATAATCACTCAGACTGCCAAATAGCTGAATTTAACTGCTAATCACAGACTAAAAGAGGATATAAGCTGTACCAAATTAAAGAGAATTTTATCCGCATAGTCGATATGTTTTTCTGTTGGGTGAAGAACTGAACGAGTTTTGTCATTCCTGGTGATGAGAGTGCAGCAGTTCCACAGTGGTACAAGATACAACTTTCATCTTACTGCACCATCCAAATTATTACCTGCATGCAAGACATCTGATATAGCTGCAGAGACCTCTTTCACAGAACTAATGCCATCTGACCGGAGAACAATCTTTTTGTCTATATTTTAGCATTTATTTGTTTTATAACTGCATGAGTTCCCATCATTATTTATGAAAATAAGGGAAGCATTTCCCCATGGTAATGGTCTATTCCATTGGTGTCATATCTTAAGCATAGCAATAATTCTGAGTAAAAAATGAATACAATAAATCAAATATAATTTAAATGTTTAAAATGATTCCCCAAATAGGACAATAAATATGTTGCCTGAAAGATTTTCTATTACCACAGAATTTTAATTACTTTAAGGGAGGTCATGATGGATATATTCCAATTCAAAGAAAATCTGCAAAATTAAAGAAAAGCACAAGTCTTTAAAGGTGGTGGACCTAAATTATCTGAAGTAGCTAAGGTATGTAAGTGATTCAGTGATTAAACAGACACTATAGGGATCTTTACAGGTTCAGATGGTGAATGTTTTAATAATTTCCATTAAAAGAAATCAGATCCTTTTCAGATGGGCAGCCAAAATCCTAAGTCACTCCTGAAAATGAAGGCTGATTATAGGATTCACTTCAAACCCATGTACGTCATCAGTAATCAGTTGAAATTACAAATTAGAGACATATTATCAGCAGCCAAGTTAAATGTAAATTAGACAGGAGAAAAAGAATCTAAACAGCATCACCTGGTTTAAAAGGAAAGCAGAAAACAAAAATAGATCACTTCTTTTTTCTCTTTTTTTGCCTATTTCAATTCAAGACACTTGATAGGTAAATTTAGTTTTATCAGTTTGTAATTTAGAAACAAGAATAATTCTCCCAATACCTTGTAGTCAATAGAACTAATGAAATCTTAAATTACCATCACAGGGAGATACAAAATAATACATATCAGTATTAAAATATCAAAACAGAGGATGTATTTATTAGGAAATGGATTTAATTGAAAGAATTCTAAAACTTGGTTGCACCTTTATTATTTTTACTTTGTTAATGTGCTGCAACAAGTCATATGATTCTGTCAAATACTGCAAACAGAAAATGGAAATAATCCACCTCATGTTATCAGGGTTAAATTTCACCCTAATGGATGTGGCTTGTCCACAATCAGCTCTTCTGTATGAATCTGGATAGCAAATGTGTCTAGTTACTTAAGTGAAATCTCTGCCTTTTGCACTGTAGAAAGAGTTTTCATGTAGCCAAACTTAACTGAGAAGTATCAGGTTTTTATGGAATGAATTATATGGTTTATGTGAAGTTTTTACTGTCTCTTTTTTCCCCCTTTCAATGATTCTAACAGATGAGTCATCACTGGACACTTGTTCAGGTCATAGCCAGAATGTCCATATACAGGGGAATGACTTTTCAAACATGCTAGAGAAATATAATAATGGATGACCCATTTATGCTGCCTTGAAGTTGAATTGTGTATCTCATCCTCGGTCTTACTACTGCTTCAGTACATGTTCCAGATCAAGTGCTTCCTCAAAGCCATAAATGCCCATGTATGTTCACCACTCTGACCAGGTCTATGCATCTGTTTTAACTATTAAGGAAAAAAAAGTGACTATGGAAGTTATGATTCCAAGCTCAATAAAGGATAGAAATGAAAGTTAATGTACTGCCAGTCAGCAATAAATTTGGAGTGCTTTGGTCCCACAAAGATGTGCACTGGGGCCTGCCTTGCCCTGCAGGAAGCTGGTCAGCTGATAACTTATCTCTGCATGAGACCATGACTGAGTGTTTCTATCCAACAAGATCTGTTAAAAATTAAAATAAAAATAAGTTACTTTTTTTATATTTATTTGGTATTGTTTTGCTTGATTGTTTGATATTTTCAACATTTTTTTTTCATCATTAGTCTTATTTCCAAGATTTGTTTACTATTTCAAGGGAAGCTTAACATTTTTTTATTAAATTTCATATTTTTAAAAGTTAAAAAGGAGGTTGGCTTTCTTCACTGAGGACTGCTCTTTGGCTTTGTTAACCCTGGTGCTCATACGAGCTTC